TCTCATCTGGCCTGGGAACGCCTTGGGGTCCCCCAGGAGGAGATGGAAAGCATTGCTGAGTAGAGGGACATCTTGGGTGCTTTGCTCAGCCTGCTGCCCCCACAACTTGGCCTCGGATAAGCGGATGAAAATGGATGGATGGAATACCTCAACATTAATATTGTGATGGTATTGCAGAGTTGAATATTGGTGCTTTCACCAAAAATTTACACAGTGAAATTTTTGATAAATTATCATCAGTAAAGTGGATATAATAACTAAGTGGGAAAAGGCAAATAATAGAACAGCTAGAACAGTTTGGTAATGAAGCTCAGTATACGTTCAATCAGGAAAACTTTCTTTATGCTATATCCATTCACCCACGGCTTCCTCCAATCAGATGATTATGAGTGTTCCCTCTCCTGGTTTCATGCCATTCATGTTGCTACTGCCAAACTTTAAATCTGTTCTCCTCTCTGCCCTAGGCAGCTCTCATTTTAGGCAGAATCGTCATGCCCTCCTCCACCCCATTCACCTCCAGTCACCTTATCCAGAGCCCAGGACAAGCTCATCAAAAGCCCACTCCTCTTCACATCCAGATCCTCAGCTCCCTCTTCATCTCATCATCACCAGCATTACCACCACCAGTATCTGGACTCCATAGGGGGTTCCCTATTCTACAACATCTTAACCACCCTCCTGGCATATAAATCACCATGGGGTCTAATCATCTGAGAGTTTTTACATTCCTCACCCTTATGTGCACATGTAAATAAATATTCTTTTCTCTCAGACCCAGTCTTTCCTGATTGAACTGTAATGCAGCCTTTAAAACCTGGAAAAGAGAACACTTACAAATCACAATATCCAAAATCTGAGATAGTCACATATCACATTATTGATATAATAAAGACATATTACCCAGCCCTATTTCAGTCTCCTAGGGCACAACTCTAGCTCTCAAAGGGTGGGGAAAGAGTGAGCTATACAGCCCTTGGTCACAGCTAAAAACTGCCAGCAGGAGGTAATGTTGGAGATAATGCCTGTGGATATTCTCATTCATCCAGGTCATAGTTACCTCAAGGCAATTGAATGGAACGCAACTGGACTTGGTTTTGTCTTAGAAGACGTTTCACCTCTTATCCAAGAGGCTTCATCAGTTCATGCTTGTCTGACTAGGCTGGAACTAGTCTGACAAACTGGTGTGGAAGCACCCAGGTATTTAACCTCTGGGGAGGTCTTCACAAGGCCAATGATGTCACTGGTTCGTTAGTGCTCCAATGGTGTGTCAACGACAGTCGTTGAAACTCCTGCTGCAACGGTTGTCACTGGAGTCGTTAGAGTCACATGAGGCCATTTGTGAATGACCGTTGTTTTTAGAGGTTAAGTTGTTAAGCCTCCTGGGCAAGGATGAAAGGACAGCATTATAGGTGGGGGATAGGTGGTGTCCAACTGGGGTAACCACAAGTTTTTAACATCTTCTCTTGTGAACAGAAACATCAAGTTCACAAGAGAAGATGTTACAGAGAATAGTTTGCCCTTCTTGGATTGTGACATGCACATTACAGAGGACAGAGGCCTCCACATTGGGGTATACAGGAAACCCACTCACACAGACCAATACTTACTGTTCGATTCTCACCACCCACTGGAACACAAACTAGGTGTTATCAGGACCCTACAACACAGAGCTGATAATGTACCTACCAGCACTCAGGCTCAAGGGAAAGAGCATGAACATCTGAGGGAGGCTCTAAAAACTTGTGGTTACCCCAGTTGGGCCTTTGTGAAATCAGCAGCCTGTTCCAGAAAGAACAAGGTGGGTGAGGAAGAAAAGAACAAGCGCAATAACAATGTCATCCCCTATGTGTCTGGGGTATCTGAAAAACTCAGGAGGATTTTCAGCAAACACCACATCCCTGTGTATTTCAAACCCAGTAACACACTCAGACAAAGACTGGTACACCCAAAAGACCGTACACCACACACTCAGAAGAGCAACCTAGTGTACGCGGTCCAATGCAGTGAGGAATGCCCAGACTTGTACATTGGTGAAACAAAACAACCACTAAACAAACGCATGGCCCAACATAGAAGGGCTAACTCATCAGGGCAAGACTCAGCTGTCTATCTACACCTCAAGGAGAAAGTACAGTCCTTCGAAGACAGCAATGTGCACATTTTGGACAGGGAAGACCAATGGTTTGAAAGAGGTGTAAAAGAAGCCATCTATGTGAAATTGGAAAAGCCATCTCTCAATAGAGGAGGAGGTCTGCGACACCATCTATCCCCCACCTATAATGCTGTCCTTTCATCCTTGCCCAGGAGGCTTAACAACTTAACCTCTAAAAACAACGGTCGTTCACAAATGACCTCATGTGACTCTAACGACTCCAGTGACAACCGTTGCAGCAGGAGTTTCAACGACTGTCGTTGACACACCATTGGAGCACTAACGAACCAGTGACATCATTGGCCTTGTGAAGACCTCCCCAGAGGTTAAATACCTGGGTGCTTCCACACCAGTTTGTCAGACTAGTTCCAGCCTAGTCAGACAAGCATGAACTGATGAAGCCTCTTGTATAAGAGGTGAAACGTCTTCTAAGACAAAACCAAGTCCAGTTGCGTTCCATTCAATTGGCTTGAGATAAGGTTGGAGATAATGTCACATTAGCTGTAAAATAATACAGATTTGATTGTGTATATTGCTTCAAACCTGCTGGCAGGCTAGGGCCCCTCTGCTTGGAGTTTGAATGTTCTCTGTATGTTTTCTTTGGGTTCTCCAGCTTCCTCCTACAGTCCAAAGACATGCAGGTTAGATTTATCAGTGACTTTAGCCCTGTGATAGTCTGGTGACCTGTCCAGGATGTAGCCCGCCACTCACCCATCAGTTGAGATCAGCTCCAGCCCACACAACACATGTGCAACACACGGGAACTGCCCATTGGTCCGACAGCCCATTGGTTCGACATCCCATTGTTCCGACCATATTAAACTCATTGTTCCGAAGTCCGTTCCGAAATCATCATGATGCCCTGTGGTTAAGGTCTGGTTAGGTTTAGGCACAAAAACCACTTGATTAGGGTCAGGAAAAGATCATGGTGTTGGTTAAAATGAAAAAGAAAGTGACAAACACATAAGCCGTGAGCCTGCTCCGCCTCACGCCGGTCGCGGCGCACCATACACCCGCCGCGAGCTGTTCAGCACCGCGGACAGTTGGACTAATGGGATGTCGAACCAATGGGCTGTCGAACCAATGACATGGACCCCAACACACACCACTGCCATACCATGCGCGTCAAAACGCCTGCCTGCATTATTTTCTATTTACAAACTCACACCGCCGGCGGCTCGACGCGTGTCGACGTGCCGCACCGCGGCACTTTACGCTACCGTCCTGTTTTTCCAGCATCACCGCCCTTGAAAAAGCGGTTGGCAACCAGTATCGCCACCTAGAGGACTGGAGTGTGCAATAGAAATCCGGTTGACGCCCCGCAGCGCGACGCTTTTTGTGTGTGTTGGGGGCGGCACTTGACTCGCGTCAATGACGGCGGCGTCATATGATGCCGCTAGTGTGTTTTGGCCTTTATATTCTATGATGCACTGCTCTGCTTCAGCCCACTGCTCTATTTCCAGCGCGGCCGGCACTGCGAGAAAAGCCTTTTATGTACATCTCAGCCGCCGTAGTATCAACTCCGGTTGCTAGTCCTTGCTTCAAATTTTAATAAGACGAGTTTGATAAGAAACTCACCCGTGAAATCCAAGTTGTTGTTGCCTCAAAGTTTTTCCTCTTCTTCTTCTGTTACTGGCAGTTGGCAACCGTTGGCAACTAGTGTAGGTACAGCCACCTGGGAAATTCACTTTAGTGTAGACGGTGCCGCTGCGCTATGTGTTGGGGGGGCGGCACTTGACGGCCACAGCGCTGCGCCGGCGGCAGTATGTGTTGCACTTTAAGGGGATAAGTGGTTACAGAAAATGGATGAATGGATTATTGTCTTAACCCTCTCTCTGTCATTTGCAGGATTGTACTCTCCTCTGTTCAGAAATGTGCTGATGTTATTATGATGTAAAGTTGCAACAGCTGTGAATCAATTTAGAATCAGGATGACACGTTGTTATCTTGTTGGGGCTTTTTGGGACAGAAATCTCATTCAGTGTTTTGTTTTGTTGTGGTTTATTTCTTAACATCTCCACTAGAGGTCAGGAGAGTTTCACCTGAAGCCTCTGTGACTAACTACTCTCATATACATACAGTACAACACCAAAATTTGCTTAGCTTTCTCTCTGTTATAGGTTGTCAAGTGCTCCCAATACAAATGCATCTAAAATAAGCAAATACTTAATCTGGCAAATAATATAGTTCACTGATTTTTGAGCATATTATGAGGCATTTTTGAGGCACAATAATGTAAAAAAAAACACTATGACTAGAAGCTTTTCTGTCATTGCTGGTTTGTGTGTGTGTGTACTTGTGTCTTTTGAGTATTATCTGTATTCTCAACATGCACAGTGAACTGTGGACAGTGAAGCTGTACACTAATCTGCAGCTTCAGTCTGTCTGCACGTTAAGCTCTGCAGCCGTATGAGAGGCTGTTTGTCACTCTGGGTTTCCTGTGAGTCTTACTGATTACAAGGTGCAACAAGATGTTGTCGAGGTGGGTTTAACTGTCACCTCTGTGTCGTCTTGTAACTTCTAGAAACCTGTGTTAAACTGTCGCCATCTTGGCTTTTGTATGACGTGTCCTTAAAACAAGATTACTATTACTCCGAGTCCCATTGTCTGTGGCAGAATGAGCTCCAACGCGACAAATACTGGCATCAAACTCTGCTGGTGAAGGGTCGGGGCCGATGGCTAACTAAGATAAGAACAGGAAATTGCCTGAAAACAGCAATCATGTCTTGATACAGACAATCCCCACCATCACAGCCGTTATGAAATGGTACAGATCGATTTCAATCCAAAAAAAAAAAAAAAAAAAAAGGGAATCTGTAGCTGAATTGTAATCAACAACAAACAGGTGTTCCATCTCAAGATTTTTTTTTTGTGGTGTAAGGAAATTAGAAACAGAGTTTAAATCAACTTTTGGAAAACATCATTGCTTTCCACTTTCAGCAAAAAGCACATTTGTTCATACAAATTTTCATACATATCAGTTACAGATAATGATGAATGTTGCTCAGCCTTAAATGCGGACAATAAGTGACGGGAGGATATATACATATTCCTATGAATGAATTATATCATTCACCATTAATCATCATTATACAATTTATTACGTCTGTTGTCTTGTTTTAGGCTCTCTACATCCTGGAAGTATTGATGGCAGAATAGGTGCTGAAGTCAGAACTCAAGGTTTTCTTCTTCTTTGGTCTCTGTGATGCCTGACGGATTTCCACTGCAGCATAACACACATCTTCATCCTAAAATTTGACATTTGTTGTTTAGAAATCCCAGTTGTAAATCAATTTGACGCCACAATTTATTGTATTCTACCGCTACACTCACCTGATTCAGTCCTGTTTGAGGTCTTTGCTGATCAACTTGAGGTTCTTTAGCTGCACAAATCAATACAACATCACTACAGCACGGTACACCCAAACATTAACACGTTGAGCTTAAAAAGTGAGATAAACAGGACTTACCTTTTTTCTGACAGAGCTGATAAACCAGAAGCGAGGAGAGAAGAGAGGAGAGGACAGCAAAAGCTGGACACAGAGTGAACAGCAGCATCCAGCATACACCACATTCTTGTGAAGCCTCAGGGTGATGATGTTCACTGGAGCCTGGATCAACACACAGTTGTGTCGATTAGTTTCGTTAAACTTTGATTTCACCAAAAACGTCAAAATTCATTTTCTTGAACAAAGGTCTTTATGTATGCTGGTGTGAGTGTTACAGTTGATCAATGACCCCAGAAACCAAGAACGAAAAGAATAAAAACACTGATTTAGATTAAATTAAGTGGATGTTTTCATTGAGCACAAAAAATATACAGTATATACTGAACTGACATTCCTATTTGTTCCGCTATGCCCCATGCTCAGTGTTTGACCTGCCTGGATGGCAGACTTTTTTTTAACTTTGGCCTCATTTCGGAATTGCCTTCAAAGAAATATCTATTCTCATTTGAATAATGTCTTTGGTTTATCAGATTTTCCGCTCAGTCCATCAGTAAGTGTGCCCTTTAACCCTGTTTGATCCTATTCTCTCTGCTTTCAAAAGTAAAATCATCCAAAGACTCATAATGCATAAAAATGCACAAGGAAAATCTTGGGTGCACATTTAAGGATGACTTTGAACACTTCAGATACTATTTCTTAACAGATTGTGGGTTGTTAACGCACATAATCTTCACATACATTATATAGTGAATGTGTGTTATTGTATGTTAGATTTCCTGATGGTTCACCTTTTTGATCATGAATATAAGCGTGTGATATCTGGGCCCATTTTCCTGCTGTATAATGATCGTTTAGCCAAATGATACATTCACTGAAACCATATAAATATTTCAGGCACAAAGAAAATTCAGACTGGCATACTCACTGAATACGATCCTTGTTGTGATGTTGCCGTATCTGTAAATAGTTCTGGATGTAATGAATTCTTTATCCTCCACCTTGGTCTGTTCAGTTCCACAGTAGTAGAGGCCCTCATCAGAGTGAGTGATGTTCATGATCAGCAGGTCATAGGATGCAGAAGAAAAGTTTCTCACAAATTGAAAACGAGGCAGAATCTTCAGAGGGTCATCTTCAGTGTTGACCATCTTTGAAGGGTGTTTTGTTTTAAGGACAAGAGGAGGCTGATTCTCATGAGAGCAGTTCCTGTACCACACTATGTATACTCCAGATGATAATTTGCAGTCACAGTAGAGAGTGATGTTGTCTCCTGGTCTGACTGTCACCTCTAACACTGATCCAGAAACTGAATCATGACTGCAAGAAACAGCTCCTGGAAATACAAACACAATCGTAAAAGCAGATTGAAATGTGCACAGTGTTACCGGATCTCACATAACAGCCGGTGCAGGTTCCTGCTCAACACGACAGCAATGAAAATGCAAAAAATAATTATTATTCTCAAAATTGATCCCATCAATTGTAATCAAACCATTCAAAATGTATATCAAAATAGATACCTAAGAGAATGAGCAGAGAGATGTGCAGCCTGTCCATGTATGATGAAAATCGAGACATAAAGGACAGTGAAACAGGGTGTACTCACAGATATCATGCCCTGCTCAGATTTTTCCGTTTAAGGAAGTATAAGAGGTGATTGGCCAGTCTAGTGGAATTTTTTTTTTTCTGTGGTTGTTTTCTATTTTTGTATAGATGTGTAGAATTCATTCACATTTTTTTTGTTTCTTCTGTGATCACTTCATAAAACATACAATAAAATAAACAAACCCCAAACAACCAACAGTGTATGGCTGTTCCAAAAAATTTACTCATATGATTGTATTCTGATTTTCCAAACTCAGTGTCAAGCACATGTTCAGTAGAGACTTCCCCCCCAAGAAAAACATCATCGGCGATTTCAGTGACAAAAGTTGCTGTTTTTGTCCAACCACAATATGAAAAGTATGTTTGTCTACACTTTCACACTTTCTGGTAGCACATATCACCTCAGAGGATAGCTGCCGGACGAGGTGAGACAAGTGAAACAATGAAGTGTCAAAGCTTCATGTAGGTAACCGAACACACTTGCTTTTTCACTGAGGCAGAAATATGGTATAATTGCACTGATACAATGGGTGCTTGCGTGCTGTATGTGTACACATGTGCCTGTATTGATGTCCACACTTCATGGTGTGATACTGTGCAGCTACTACTTCTCTATTTTCTTTTTTCTTTTTTTTAACAAACAAACTCACCAGAGTTTGGTGTGACTCACTGGTTTGGTGTCTGAACAAGAGCAAAACCTGCCCTTGATTAAAGTAGATTTATTTCTTTCTTTTGTGGTAACAACACACGGTTTTGAAATTGAATGTGAAGATTACATCTTTTAACTTGTTTCCAGGTCAGCCTGCCACCGCAGTGAACACACGAACTGTGACACTTTCTAGACCTCAGAGACTTGATCTGTTCCCTCCCTCTATTTAGCTAAGCAAGTATATTAAACAAGGATCTTCAGAAATAATTAATTATTGATTTGAACTCCACTTCTGAAATTAATTTTGAAGATGTGATAATCCCTTCTTGCACAGTCTAAATCAGTTTTACCATTTGGGATCGACAATGATAAACTGTTGCTGGAGGCTTTAATAACCTCCATTCAGAAGTTTAGGTGGAACATTTCCAAGTTAGAGCAGGGGCGTGTCCACAGAGCAGCCAAACCTTAAATCTAATTGTTGCCACCCCATTATCCCAAACTATGACTGGCTATCTGCCCGGTCAGAGGCTGGATCTTAGTTTGAACCAACAATTTGATGAGTAAACAGAACTTTTATTCATAGCTCTAAATCAGTCTTAAATCTGCAAGACAGCGATGCTCTGGAGTAGCTCAGCCTGCCGAGAATAAGAATGTTTTGCTTTGACTTGGAACTGAGTGGACAGTACAAGGTGATACTTCCCAGATAGCACACATACATCTGGCCGACGTTGGCCTGATGTATCAAGTTTAGATCGTTAAGACGTAGCAGGGAGAGTGTTTGCTCATTGCCAATATGTCGCTGAGACGTCGGCCTTTAATCGAAAATGACCACCACGCCATGTTCAAACGATCAATAAAAGAAGCTGCGCTCAGTGGCCGCTCCTTCATTAATATTCAAATGCTTTGTTAACTATGACCTTTATTGATTTAGGTCGGACCTTTCAAACTACAAATATTTCACCATTCAATGTGGGAAATCAATGCTAACATTCAAAAATAGCTGACTGTTACCCTATTTCGTGTGTAAGTGTGCACAATGAAGAGACAAAAGTCAGTTTGACAAACTTTATTTACAAATTTCCACAAACAATATCTGATCTTCTGGCAGCCTGCAAGAGACAGAAAAGACGATGAGCACGTAACTTCAAGAAACAAATCCCAACTTCACCACTGTATTTTTTTTTTGTTTGTTAGCATTTCAGCTGTCTTTTAGCCAGATTGAAGGCTTTGGTCCGTTACTCTGCTTCATTTAGTGTTGAAACTGTTAAATAATGGGATCCGTTAACTCCGTTAACAGCAGCTCAACAATTGGTCCTTCATCTCGGAAAAACAGTGGTTTCAAAATTGCGCTATTACCTGTAGCCACCGGGTCAGTTTGCTTTAACCTTGACTGATAAATTGCCCATAAAATCACATTAACAACATACCGAAGGCATCCTTAAACTTCACTATTTGACCTCCGCACTCCTCTCCGCTCCTCTCACCCACACTTGAGCACCCGTTCTGGGATACACAGTGTCGGCCCGCCCCGCCTTACCTCTGCGCTCCTCTACGCTCCTCTTACCCACACTTGAGCATCCGTCCAGGGCCCCGGAGGTCAGACCGGGGGGCCGCGGGGCCGCGGGACCACGGGTGGCAGCTCCGGGCACTTCCACTTTAACCCAAAACGAGTGCTCACGATAACCAGATGAGCAGATAATGTCATCTAGGGAAAATAAAATGAAAACATCACAGTTGTAGCCTGTTAGCTAACATGAGCTAAACTGCTAAACTAGCTAACAGCTAGCTGGTGGGGACATGTGCTATATACACCCAGTCGTGCCTCGCCACTCACCAGGAACCTCTTTTAATGGTCACAGAAGAAACAACATAGCTATTTTCTGCCAGTTTATTCCAATTAGCTAAACCAGCTGTGATGAGATGCTGTGTCCTGCGAGCTCAGTTCCAAACAAAGACCGCAGAGATGAAATTCTGCCTTCTGTGGTGACTTCCTTATGTGGGCAGACATTCTACGGCACTGGGCCAACCCAAAACCGACGTAACAGAGACGTTTGATGAGCTGGGACAAAAGAATATTAAATTTAAAGATATCCGCCCGTGCGGCCGACGCTTGTCAGACATTATAAATTCAGGGCCGATGTGTCGTCCTAAGGACGACGTCCGCCAGATGTATGTGTGCTATCTGGGTTTTATATTCGGCATAGAAGATAAGATAAAAAATATAAGATCACCCTTCAAACTGTGACATTCTAGGCGTGTATGTATTACTGAAGTAACAGGCATAGACTCAGGGGCCCAAAGTGTCAGGGGCCAAATCAGAGACACAAAATTACTATTAAGAGCCACAGAACTACAAAGGATGCATAATAACTATAAAGTGAAACATGAAAAAGGATGCAAAACCGCAGAGTCTGTATGTCTTGCTCCTGGTTAGGAGAGGTGGTGGGGCCTTTTGCATGTCTGTGCCCAGGGGCCCTTTGTCTCATAATGCTCCCATGGCTCTAGGTACCCTTCCAGCATCAGTTTTGGACATGTCAATTTCCACTTTTTAGTGTCTTGTCAAAATAAACCTACATGTTAACGTGACAACAGTACAGTTTCTGCTCATTACATGCATAGTGTATTTTCAAAATAAACTTCCTTGTTTAAAGGAAATATAAATTTCTGCATCAAAACTACTCTAAGTTTAGGCAACAAATCTACTTTGCTGGGTTTAGGCAAAGATCATGGTTTGGGTTAAAATGACATTGACTTTTTGGTTTCATTTGTTTGACCCATCCACCCATCCTGGCCTCCTCTGTATGCAGATGTTTTTGCCATTAAAGTAAATATGACCAGTGGAGACAGAGA